ACACACACACACACACACACACACACACACACACACACACACACACATATATGATTATTTGAGAAGGGAAAGAAAGCTAACATCTCAAAGAAAGAAAAAACGATTCTTTAGGAGGTGAGACATGAGCTGAGCCTTCAAAGGAAGCAGGGATTCTAAGAGACAGATGTGAAAAAAGATATGTTTCAGGCAAGGGGACAAAGTGTATAAAGAATGCTGAGTTCCTAATAATGTAGTCGAGTTAGTTTTATTATACGAACAGCAAAGAGATCAGTTTGACTGGAACATAGCATGAGTAAAGGGGAGTGATGTAAAATAAAACTGAAAAAGCAGTCTAGAGGCAGCTTTAAATGAGCATTTGAAGAATTCATACTTTGTCCCGGATACAGTAGGGAACCACTGAAATTTATTGATCAGGGGACCGCTGGCAAATTGGGATGGTTGGGCAAAATCACAAATGCTGTATTTAGGAGAATAGACAGATATGCAGGGGTACAGTGAGGTTTTTCCACTGGATTGAAAACTGTGCAAAAGCAGTAAGGTTTCGTTGCTAATCCCCAATGAGATAGTTATCCATAACTAAAGGTTTTGATGTCCACCTGACATAGTCCTGGCCTTGGGACGTTCTGCTCCTGGCTTTTGTCAGCTTGTATGGCAGTTTTGCTTAAAGAGCTGTCCACCTGCCCCAGTTTGGGGAAATTTTAGCCTAAACCCTAACAGTCCATAGTTGAGATAAGTGGGTGGCCCTAAAGAGAAGAGTACATAAGCTGCAGTAGGGAGCTATACTCAGCAGAGACTATAGACCCAGAGGGCAACATGAGTTGCCATGAGTGGAGCAATAACCACCCCAAGACCATCTTAGAGCAGTAGAACAACGCCCAGAAGAAATTACCATGACCCACTTCCACCAACTATCGCCACAAGGCTAACAACAGAATATCAGTGGTGCAACATGCACAGGGGAGTCACCAAATGCAGTGTTATACAAATCCAATAAGAGCAAGCAATGATATCACCAGAAGGCATGCTACAGCCTAGGAGATGTGAGTATCCTGAATGTTTCCAAAGTATGGGTGCCTCTCATGCACAGATCTCTGGATGCGCTCATTGTCTCCATTGGGCATGGATGTATTTTGTCCAACTCTTCATGACCCCATTTGGAGGCAGTTATACTGGAGTGGTTTGCTATTTCCTTCTCCAGTCCATTTTATAGATGAGGAAACTGAGGCAAACAGGGTTAAGTGACTTGCCCAGGGTCACACAGGCAATAAGTATCTGAGGCCAGATTTGAACTCAGGAAGATGATTCTTCCCGACTTCAGGCCCAGCATTCTATCCACTGAGCCACCTAGTTGCCCAAGAACATACCCTAGGTTTATGGGAAGAATGTTCCAATGCAATTTTTTTGACTGTTCCACTTCATTAAATGACTTTGCTTTGAACTAATTATGTCCTCTAACTAGGGGAGAAAAAGGTAAACACATTGGTAGGGGCTCATAAAGTAGAGTTTTGAGTGGATAAAGAACTACAGAGTACCTTGAGCCTGGGATGGCTATCTGGGGGCCCTACATCTGAAAGTGGGATGCCTCAGCCATGATAGATAGATAGATAGATAGATAGATAGATAGATAGATAGATAGAT